CCTCTGCTATATAAGCTTCTCAAAGCTAATGCCCATAACACCACCTCCCACTGGTAGCAGCAGGCCGCTGGGCCACTGTGGGGTTCTCATTGCAGAGACTTACAATACCCGCCATTATTCAGCAACTGTACGTGTTAACCCAGTGGCACAAGGTTGCTCAAACACCTTCCCCTCTGGTTTCTCTTTACTCTGGGGGCCAACAGCAACTAGAGCAATGTCGCTTTCCTGACTCTGACTGCTTGGCTCACTGTACAACCCTCACATCCTCCAACCTGGCAGGGCCTCTGAAAACGAAGGAAATGTTGGGTCATTCTGGACTGCAAGGAAGGTTGTCATCTCTATTGCCACATTAAACTAGTTACAGTTTCTTAAAAGTATTTCTATGGCCCCTGTACATATCAATCCTTCTTTCTTCAGAATTTGTGTGATTAACTCAACACGGGGTGATGATCTCTCATTGTTGCTTTGCTGCTGAGTCTGCTTGTAAGGATTCACAAAGGTTCTGACGAGGACAGTGGCATACATTTTACTCCCTTGAAACAACTCCAAGGAAGAAGTTATTTTTTTCACACTTCTGTAATTCTAATCACTTTCCAGTGTAATGCATGACTCTATTGAACTAAAACATTTGCATTATCTCTACCTTGGCTACCACAGACCATATCTCTATGCACTCTCCTGTCCCAAAATCCACTCTTGGTGACATACAGCATCTGAAAATGTATTTATCTTTGGCACAGGTGATTTATTGCCTTGGGAGATGTTCAGGAGCAGCTGAGGGTTGAAGACGTTGTGGTTCTTGTGAGCTTTTCTAGAGTGGAAGATGGATCAGCTGGCAACGCTGACATTTGATTTTGTGAGCATGCTACTTTGTGAAGGGCTTAAAAACATATGAAATCAGAGAAGTGACAAAAAAGAGTGAGGGAGGAGAAATCTGAGGTGATTGCTGTTGGTGGATAAGGATTAATCCACTGGAAAACCGGGGTTCCTGGATCTACAAAACATGGGGTATGAATTTTGACTTTTATCTGGAGAGGGGAAAAAAAGTTAAACTTCAGTGACACTTAAAAAGAGAAGAAAAAATCTTTCCTCCTTTTTAATGTACTCTGATATTTTAAAGGTTATGGTTTTACTGTAAAGATTTTAAGCCATCAAATATCCTATTTATAAATTGGTGACCTTATCTTCTCATGCTACTAGCAATTTATAAACCACTTAAGTATCCATTATGAAGTTGACATCGACAAGGAAGAGGTCATGATAGACATGGGACCGGCCTCCCAAGTTGGACACTGTCAGTCCAAGTATGGGTACCCAATAGTACCCCGTCCATTTAAGTGCAGACATTCACTTTTCTACAGTGTTCCAGGAAATGTGCTCAGCTTGGACAATAATACTTAGAGCAGAATGTGCCTATGCTGAAGCTTTGATTTGTAATCAGTGGAGGGTAACCTACTCACCTCATCTTAGAATATGTGCAAAAAAACAGAGAAAGCGCCAATAAAAGATTAGTAGAATTGTCATGAAATAAACCAGATCAGCTCCAGATGCGCCTGAGACAGGAAGAACACGTGGTGAACATCAATAAGGAGCCAGGGGATTATGGGGATTCTGCAGCACACAAGTTTGTTTTGCAAAGCCTACTCCCTTACCCGGAGTCCTGGTATGGTGCTGTGGGTTAATGCACTAGACTGCAAAGCTGTTTCAACTACAAGGTTGGCAGTTTAAGCTCACCAGCTGCTCCTTGGAAACCCTATACAGGGTCGCTATGGGTCAGAATTGACTCGATGGTATTTCACAACAATCACACCCTTACCTACATTTGGCACTGCAAAGAGAATAGAGGGGAGGGTTCAACAGACTCCTGGCAAATTAAGAGAAAGGGGAGACTCCAGGAACATTCTAGCCAACTCACTCCCTCCTACATCCAAGAGTACTTTGTTTGGTTTCTCATGTCACCCTGTAAGAATGGTCAAAGAATTTTTAAGAGATGTTTCTTTAATAAAGCATATGTCCTAGTACGGCGCTGTAATATAAGCACTGGACTGCTAACCACAAAGTCAGTGATTTAAACCTACCACTACTCATTAGAAACCCTATATAGGGTTTCTATGAGTCGGAACAGACTTGATGACATTTACGAACAAACAACAAGGGTCTTATTGGGCATTCACCAAGAAGATGTATGGAGATTCCGCTACACTTTATTCCATATCATGTTACAAGAAAACAACAGTGACAGTTGACAAACCATTACATCTTTCATAATACAGACAAATTACAATTGATAACAAATATGCAATATGTATTATTCCATTCTCCTTACTATGTGTCATTTTGAAGTATAACAGTTTTCTGAATGATGCTAGCACATCTGTTAGGTACCAAACTCCTGTTTGAAAGTATACATCTCAGTGTATCATACAAAAAAAAAAAAAAAAGAAAGAAAAGTAGTGAATGTAGATTTTGTTTGTGCCTCTAAAATATGCTGTTGTGAGGAGGAGAAATGAGAAAGGAAGATTGTTTATTTTGAAGTTTTTTTAAAAATCTTTTGTTTGTATATGAGAAAACTGCAAGACAGTACCATACGCAGTGTCCTCTGTCTACAAGCCAGTAAGGGAGATGGAAGTCATGCGCAATTGTGCAGCATGTTCCTATGTATAGGGGGCAGGCAATATTCTACCCCAGTATGTACAGCCTAAACATCCTCTTATATAACAAAGATTACAAAACCAATACTATTCACAGATGAGAGTCTTATATAGAAGCCTAACCTAGGGAACTGAATAAGCCAGTTATCAGATACACACTGCAGAAAGGATACCAAGAAGACTCGCTTTCTCTGCAAGCCTGGAAGCTCCCTTGGAAACATTTCTAATCACTCTTGGGAGGTAGAAAGAGCTTCTCACCCTTGTATCCACAGAAGGATTGCCACCCCTGTCTTAACACCCCCCCCACACCCACCCCCAGTTAGTTTATATATCTTGCATTCTTATGTCAACCAAACTGTTCCTTTAAGATAATGGAAATCTCCCTTCAGAATACTGTGCGTACAATGATGCTATGTTGACACAGTCGTCATACTAAGATGGTCTTACTATTCCAGCGGCTTGAGTTCAAGCTATTCCTTCATATAAAAATAATCTCCCAAAACATTCCACTGCTTTCTCAATAGAATAATAAATCTGCTAATGAACACAGTCTGTAACGACTTTCATGACTGGGTTAAGCATGGGAACCTCAGTGAGATCCTGAGGAAAAAGAAGGGAAGAGAGAATGTGATTGCCAATGGGAGAGGCAGAACAAGAGATGAACTCTGGATTTCCTGTATGAATGGCAAGGACTGGGAGTGGAAAACAAAATACAATGCTCTGGTTCTGGAGTATGTCCCTGTAATAAATCCAATTATTATTATTTTTCTTCACTGAACAGTATTACTCAATGGCTTAGTATTACTTTCTAGGAGAAGATTCCTATGACCAGGACATATATCTCTGTATGACCCTAACATTCCTAATTCCAGTCTTTTAGCAGTCCACATTTTCAAATGAGAAAGCTGATTTACACAGCAAGATTGAACTATTTGTTACTCTTGATTTAGACCTTAATGGAATATAAAGGTTATTATCTCTCCTCCAAATGAATGATTTGAAACATTCTGATTGTATGTAAGGTTGTCTTCTCATATTTGCTTTTAAAATGGGTAACTTAAGTAATTTTAAATCACAATACCTCTCAAGACTTCCAATGAGTTGGAATGTATGAAAGAGGAATGGAAAAGGTGTTTTCTAGGCAGGAAACAGTAAACATTCTAGCCTTGGGTAAGGTTTTCTCTCTACAACAGTAAAGAATTCCTCACTTAGCAGTTTCCACACACTTGTAATGAACGTGGCATGAACACAGGACTGAGTGTGACCTTGACATGAATCTCACACCTGCCCCAGGAGAGGATTCTAATGTTTGGAATGCTGGGTCCAAGTTCCTGGGTATGACACTAGCTTTTCCCTCACCCGACTCTCAGAGAAAATACTTGCCAACTGGCTCATAACTCCTAGTCCTGAACCTAATAAGTGTACAGTCTTTCAAACTCTCCAGACTTTTGACTAATAGCAACATGTAAAACAGTGTGAATTCATGTCCTGAGGAGCGAGGATTCAGACATTAGATGAGGTTCCTGAAGCACCCTCTTGGCCTTAGTATTATTTGGGATTCTTCAGTGAGGCTACCCTATGGGTTTTGCCTCCAGATCAAGCACAGACAGACCTGCCCCTCCCTCTTTTTCCTCAGTGTCACATACTCTCCTTCAGTCTCTGAGGCCCCTCAACTCCTTAGACAAGGAAGCTGAACATTACTTTTTCCATCTTTAAAGCAAGTCTCCTGAGTAGTTCCTAAAATCTGCATTTGAACAGTTATTCCAGGAGCAAGTAAGGTACCTGGAAATGTCTTCTAATCAGCTTGGAATGTCTTTAAAAAATGTAATCCAAAAGGTGCTTTGGTGTAAATGAACATACTTGTAACTCTGGATAACTTTGTAATTTGCTTTCTACAGGTTAACCAGCAAATACTGCTTCAGGGCGCAGCCAGCAAATAGACTTTTGCACCCAAGTTCTAAACATTTTGCTTGTCACTCTTTTCTCCATTTAGAAAATATTCACAAGGTGTAATGGAGTGGATGGAAAAACAAGATATTGACAAGACCCAGAAACATGTAAAGAGGTGCTTCAATCTCCAGAGGTTGAACACTAAGCAATTTATCCGTTTTTATTCTTAATGCTTGAGACTTTTTTCTTTACTTCCAACCTACTCTGAAATCAGTCATGATACCTGGCTTGAAAATGTTAAGCAGATTCTGATACCCTATGTAAATGTTCAGTATGACCAAAGGAAAAAAAAAAATACATATGCAAATGTCCTCAAAAGGTACAATAGGTAGGGCCTCACAGCCAGGGACCAAGTTGTCAAACCAGTCAGAGAACATGGGTTTGCTTCAGCTAAACATTTCCTTCCTAGTGGCTATAAAATGCACAGTGCTCTCAAAGAAAACACACATTGTTTTATGCCACTACGTGGCTTTCATGTAGAGACATTACTGAAGAAGTGTGAACACCAAATGCGTTGTCTTAATGTATTTAAGACGTGGCTGGTGAAAGCATAAAGACCTTACAGAGATGCTGCGCTGCAAAGGGAAATCAAACAAAATCAAACACAAAAGACTGAAAAGAATACATGCCATGTATCAGTAAGCAAAGCTTAATCTTCACATAGTTCTTGGAAATCACAAGGTATCCAAATGCGTGCAAGGTTTTAAATAAATTGCAGGGAAAACAGGGTCTTGCCAGATTCAATTTTCTTGTAAGGGAAATCCACCACCAGGAGGGGAAGGAAACTGATCCATGATTCTCTTTGTATTATTGGCCACTTCATTAATTTTTTTTTTTTTTCTTCCTCTTCCAAGAATGATGACAACTTAATCCTAGAGGGAGGAAAAGAAAAAATTGTTATATAAAAAGTCTCCCAAACCTGACATCATTCAGTTTTCCTAAATTACACAAGACATAAAAATTGATCCAGCCAAACCAAGTCCATCCATTCTCTTCACAGGCACTCCAAATACATAAACGCATATTGGAGGTAGGAGAGTCTTCTGCCTTATAAGTGATCCTTATAAGATGATACATAAATGTTCTGTTTTTCCTTCCCTTGAGTGAATTTAACTCCATGATTTTAAGTGGTCAACTTCCTCTTGGATTATTTGGAAAGAAAGAAATTCAGCACATTTCCTTCTCCAAAACCATTAGTAATAATACTGGACATAATTACATGTCTGCAGCATCATATAGGAGTCCTGGTGTGGCATTGAGGGATAAGCACTGGACCACAAGGTTGGTTTGAACTACAAGGTCAGTGACTTAAACTAACTGGTCATGCCTCTAAAACCCTTTGAAGGGTCGCTATGAGTCAAAACCAACTTGATGGCACTTAACAACAGCATCATATAGACCAATAAAAGACCATATTGTCATATTCACATTTATGCACATGAAATAGAAATATGGATCACATACAGGCTTAAAAAACACAATCCAGCTGTATGTAATTCCTCAGTTGCTTATTTGCAGAGCATGTTTCAGCAAAATGAAAACTGGGCAGTTTGATCTGCCCTGCTAGTCTCGTCCCATCATCCTGCATGTGACTGTGTGGAGTAGATGCCAGATGTCCCCAGTGCTGCCTGCTTAAAACACAGTACTACTTCCAGGTGATCAGATTAGGAGAAAGAAGGAAGATTTACTCCTATCTTCTCCACGAGTCTTTTTAGTCCTTAAGGACTTTCACTAAAGTCCATGTATCGGCTCCACTGAATCCCAGAACCAACTCATCATCAAGGTTTGAAGGCTCAAGGTCACTGAGGCCTGGAGAGGCTTGTGGTCCCATGCACAGTGCTATACTCTTCTCTTCCTGGACATAGAGGAAACTGTCTCAGCCTGCAGTTTGGGCTGAGACCTCACAGTGCGACCAGCCCTCCTGTCCAGCAGCCACCTATCAACACCTTGACCAAGAAAGCAAAAGGTTCCAACCTCACAGCTAAAATTCACTTAAACAGCATTCTCCCTACCTCCACTTAACTATGAAGATTTCTTTTTCAATGCCAACCTTCTGTTTTTGAGAGTTCCCTATCCTCAATGACGAGGCTCAACGGAAAGCCCTTTTCTCAAGGCTTTAAGGATCCTTGATGGAGCAGTGGTTAAATTGCTCAGCAGTCAACCTAAAGATGGGCACATCGAACCCACCATAAGAGAAAAGGCTGTCTGTTTCTGTACAGATTTACAGCCTTGGAAACCCTACAGGCAATTCTAGTTTGTCCTATAGAATTGCTCTGAGTCAGAATCAATGGATGGCAGCAGTGGGTTTGGTTGGTTTTCTTTATGCCTCTGGAGAAGTCTGCAGATGAAGGGACTGGATATAAAGTCCTCTGCTGAGTCCCAAGTTCCCACCTGTTCCTTTAAATATCTGCTCCTGGGGCAGTCTCTATGTGGCTCACATGGCTACCCCTCACCCCTGCCACCTGGTCCAGATAGGCCTTTATCAAACTTTTTCTTAAAGAAGTCACCATGCTGACAAAAATAATATGAGGATGAGTCAAAAATCATCTGTACTCTGGTTATTTTAAACGCCCGTCCACATCCACAGTTGATGACAACATGGAGTGTGCATGTGAAACGGTTCTGTCAAACAGACAAGTGACCGTGGATTTTGTGGCAATTGGCAAATCAGCCAGGGCTCTGCCTGTGAAATAATCCACGACAGACTTCAGTTTAAAAAAGTTTGTGTGTTTACTGCAAGAAACCAAAAAGAGACTTACAAAGATGGAAGAATGTACCATGCTTCTGGATAGGAAGACTTAACATTGTGAAAATGTCAATATTGCCCAAAGCAATTTATACATATAATGCAATACCAATCCAGATTCCAACAACATTCTTCAAAGAGATGGAAAAAGCAATTACAAACTTTATATGGAAAGGAAAGAGACCCAGGATAAGCAAAGCACTGCTT